TATATTTCAGTCACTGTAGTGTATATTTCACCCACTGTAGTGTATATTTCAGCCACTGTAGTGTATATTTCAGTCACTGAAGTGTATATATCAGAAACTGTAGTGTATATTTCAGTCACTGTAGTGTATAATTCAGTCACTGTAGTGTATATTTCAGTCACTGTAGTGTATATTTCAGTCACGGTAGTGTATGTTTCAGCCTTTGTAGTGTATATTTCAGTCTCTGTAGTGTATATCTCAGCCACTGTAGTGTATATTTCAGCAACTGTAGTGTATATTTCAGCCTTTGTAGTGTATATTTCAGTCACTGTAGTGTATATTTCACCCACTGTAGTGTATATTTCAGTCACTGTAGTGTATATTTCACCCACTGTAGTGTATATTTCAGCCACTGTAGTGTATATTTCACCCACTGTAGTGTATATATCAGAAACTGTAGTGTATATTTCAGCCTCTGTAGTCACGGTAGCCACTCCCGAGCGTCCCCATCACTTTTTTCTTTTTCTTTTTTTTTCTGTTTTGAATGTCATCAGATAGGCAACAAGGAAATGACCGGCTTGTAGACGAAATCTTGAATTAATTTCAATTCAAATTAAATGAAAAAAAGGCAAAATATGAAAAAATGAAAAGGAATCTCATGCAGATATATTTAGATTGCTAACAGAAAAAATATGTTGGATATTCCGCCCACAATAAAATCCACTTTCACTTATCAACACCGAAATAAAAATGGATGCACAATATTGATGATGTTGAAAGAATTGAGACTTGGCATGTTGTGGTAGTGGTGATATTAAGAACGAGAATAAATTTATCTTAAAATACGAACATTACGAGGATATCAGAAAATACTTTACCAAAAAGTATTATTATTTGAAACCTAGTATGGCAAAATTTATCCAACTCTTGGAAACTTAAAATTACAAAGATTTGTCGAATTTAGGAAAATGTATTCATATCATTAGCTAAAGGTGAAATATTACCGTTTGATAAATATATATACATACGTTTATGGCAAGCTTTATGGAGTAATTTTGCACATTTCGAGATATGGGATCTGTGTGTGTGCTATGAGCTAATTGATCCACGTGTTCGTTGTTGTACACTGTACTGATATACTGTACGATGTAAAGTAATGAATTGAAATGAAAATGGCTAGTAGTGACTGTGGTTAGCTGGAGATATGACTCTTTACTGGGACATGGGATACTTTGTTATGATGGTTATGCATTTATTTTCGACCTTATTGATTGTCAAACATTTATTTTCAACCTAATTGATAGTCATACATCTATTTTCAACCTTAATGATTGCCAAACATTTATTTTCAACCTAATTGATGGTGATACATTTATTTTCAACAATATTGATAGTCACACATTTGTTTTCAACCTTATTAATGGTGATGCGTTTATTTTCGACTTTCTTGATGGCCATCCATTTATGTTCAACCTTTTTGATGGTCATAAATCTATTTTCAGCCTTATCAATCGTCATGCATCTATTTGCAACCTTATTGATGGTCATAAATCTATTTTCAACCTTATCAATCGTCATGCATCTATTTGCAACCTTATTGATGGTCATACATTTATTTTCAACCTTATTGATGGTCATAAATCTATTTTCAACCTTATTGATGGTCATACATCTATTTTCAACCCTATTAATGGTCATACATTTATTTTCAACCCTATTAATGGTCATAAATCTATTTTCAACCTTATTTGTCATAAAACCTTACCTATCAAAATCGCATACAAAAGATCTCGGATACGCGCAGGTAGTATTGCAAACATAGATGGGGACAGATTGGATCTAGGGGGTTGCGAAGGGTTAGAGGGGTCGTTGTGAAGGGGAAGAAGTCAAAACACCCTCCTAAACATGAATTAGTTGTTACAGTAAAAATATGAACACCTGCATTGTTCACCATTCAACGTACATACTGTGACAACTACAAATTCATGCTTTATGGCTTAGTTTCTGTTAATATATGTCACTATATCTTCGCTCGAGTTTCTTAAATGGCCTACCCATCTCTGTAATTGTGTCATTTAGTTCAAATATAGAACCATTCTATATTTATGTACATGAATATATATATAGATAAAAAATAGTGAATATATACATACTTTTATATATTGAGAATACATGGTCAGTGTCTCAAAATATAAGCTGTATTTTGGTGAGGGTGAAGAAAGTGGCAAGATCGGGCGAACCAAGTTTGTCTTTCTGTTCCGAGCCAAAACACAGCTTATATTTTAATAAACTGACCATACATTCTATTAATCCTGCAACAATGATCGATAATTAGACTCTTGAAACTTAAATAATTTTGATGTTCATTCTGGGTTTACCTAATAATGTTGACGTTAGCCGAGTTTTGCTTGTTGACGGACGCCGAAATAATTGCTCCACGCAAAAATATAGTTTCAACCTTCATCGGATATAACAACGATTTTATGAGTTTTCAGAAATCAGCTTGTTCATTACAACATGTAAAATTGCTCATTTCAACAACTATTTATATTTCTAAACATAATATTAAAGTAAATTCAGAGAGTGATTCTGTCAAATTACGGTACGAGCTAAATACAGGAGCCTTCCGTCACTGCCGAATACAGCAAAAAGTTTGTGGCAGGTGTATTCTGACAATGGTAGTGTCTGTTACAGAATTAATCATAATATTTGTACCACTCTTTCGCAGTGCGATTGCTGGTCAATTTCTGGGAGATTACTTATATAAGCTGCAAGCTTGTTGGCAAATCCCTTTTCACCTCTGTTTACTTTGTGCCTTCTTGTATTTCAATAACAATTTTGAATTAAATATTGTTTAGACTAAATACAGATCTCACAAAATTACGTCAACTGATCAGATAGCAAACTGGGTATCTGTTTTCAGAAATGATGCACTTATCGCTTACTAGCCTCAAGCGGACAGAGTGGGCTACTTGAGGTATCTACATTCCAGATACAGGTGGCTTTGTGTCGAGTTTGTTCAAGTATTTACAGGCTAACTTCCGGGTTGCTCTACAGTTCAGAGTGATATCGGATTGTTTGTGTTGTCAATCTCATGGTCAACTTACATTCACTGAAAACAAAATGTCCTGACGTAGTGAACAAAACTTTATTGACAAACAGACTGTTTGGCATTTCTGTTTTAAAGTTTAACGCGACAAACTAAGCCGATTACATTATGATATAAACCTTTGACGTATTCACAGTGTTAAAGTCAACATAAAGGGGGCGGGGCAATAATGTTTTGAAATGCATGCATATCAATATAAAACAATTCTACACTCTGTATCGCCCAAAACCACGATGTAGTAAAGTGTCTCCCAATTATACATAAATATCACATCATCGCCCCATCTCGACACTCTGTATCGCCCAAAAACACACACCTCCTCTTCCCCTATCAACATCATCGCCCCATCTCGACGTTACTTAACACACCCCTCCTCTTCCCCTATCAACATCATCGCCCCATCTCGACGTTACTTAACACACACCTCCTCTTCCCCTATAAACATCATCGCCCCATCTCGACGTTACTTAACACACACCCCTCCTCTCCCCCCTATCAACTTTATCGTACCCCTCAACCTCAACATTATTACATTATTATATCCGATGTTTGGAAAAATATCCCCTTCTCCTCCCATTTCAACTCCCCTCCCCCTCCAGCTCAGCTGTCCCTTATCTGCACACATTCGACCTTTCAACCTTTGTCAACACTATTTCACTATTCTCTCATGTCAACTTAATCGCCCCCATCTAAACATTCTTGTCCCCTCGCAACAGCATTACACCCCCGCCCCCCACAACCACCACCCCCATCCCCACCCACACACCCCCTGGTGGTGTGTGACATTCTCCCGCTACAAGCTGTCCTTACTAGATGTATATGTTCTGTTCCCTTGGTCGAAATTCGTATGGACGTTTTAAATTGGACAAACAGGAAACGATTGTTTGCAGACTGTCAGACGAAAGTCACCCTTACATGATATGAGATATTTGTAATAGTGTGACCTCTGACAAAAGTAAATGTTATTGATATTCTGCATGTACTCACACGGCAGGTGTAATATACTTTGTTTATATTTTATCTGTAGTTTGCACCCCGTTGATATATGTACAAGCATTTTTGGCTTTTTATTCGGATAAAGGTCATGAAGACGTCAAGGTCAAAAGTTTTTATGGTGTTTTATGACACACGAGAAAAACGGTCTGTCATAAACTATAGTGCGAACCTCAGTAAACCTAAAGAAAACCTTAGTAGCTATGCTAATGAATTTATACGAATTTATTGAAACGAAACTTTAAAATTTGTTTGTTCAGTCCAGGGATGACGTCATACATGTGGTGACGGTTGAATAAGTCCAACTGTCCGTGCCCTTTTAAAGACTCATCGTGAATTTTTTTTTTTAAATTGTACTAAATAAACAAAGTTGAATAACACTTTTTTAATGCAAGCTTTGATAAGATACAGTGCAGCCAAGCAAAGAATAAATTTACATTATACAGCTGTTTCGTCAGTGATGCTAAATTTTATAACTTGCAGGCGACTGAAGAAAATTCCAAAATGATCTAAAGAAATGTCAAAATCTAGACTGGAGGTTCTCTAGCCCCTGTGTTTAGTAAATTTCATATATCTGATAATATTAGAACAATGCCAAATACACGTGTATATTCTGAACCGTGCCGGTATCCGCATGAATTAAAAAACGTGTCATTTGGAACCTTTGTCAACAAGCCTCAACGTTTTGAACAATGTCTTTGGTGGTCGCCATTTTGTCTGTTCGTCAAAACATAGCTTTCAGTCATGTGATTTCTTGGAATTAGTCTAAAGTCATTATAATTCAAAAGATTAACTACTCTCTTTGTTTTCAAATCCTAGAGGACTTCTAATTATACAATTCATGAAATTCTGTCTTTAATCATTAATTTTTTCTTTTTAACTTATTTATTTATTTATTTTTATTTTTTTTTTGTTACAGGTTTCGCAATTGCATCCTTGTCACAGCTTGACCTTGATTACATTTCTGCTAATCTAGAGACCAAGGTCAAAGTAACCGATAATCTCGAGTACAATGGCGGGAAACACAAATTTGTCGTCACTTTAAAGAACGCCGGAAATCAGCCTATCAAGGGAAATAACTGGAAGATATACTTTTACAGCTTTTTCATGTTAGAGGCAGAGCATCTACCAAACCCAGGCGGGTATGAAGTTCCGGGTCAAAAGGTTAAATTACACCATGAGAACGGATGTCTCTTCAGCATGATGCCAACAGCCGACTTTCAGGACATAAATACCATGGAAACGAGGACCATAGAGTTTTTTGGCGCCAATTGGGCAATAAGTAGGTCCGATGTTCCTCCGAACTGGTACATAACTTCTGATGGTTTAGAGAGTAGACTTCTAAATAGTACATCATTCGGAAGTCATTTTGTTGAAGATTTTACCAATGTTAAACAATGGAAGCGGTACAGAAATGACCAATATAATCCGTACACACCACGTGATCGGTACAGGAAATACGGATCGGACTCGGGAGAAGCAACAGAGAAACACTACATCATTCCAACACCAAAACAAGTAACAGTTACTAGTAGCCATTTTGTGAATGTGCGATCAGGGACATGGCAAGTTCGAACCGGAAGTGCAGACACTGCCGCTGAGGGGATGAAGCTTGCAAGTAAGTTGCTTTCCGGTTTACGAAATATTGAATAGTAGACGACATTAAGTAATACAAAAGCATACATAACGAAGTCATTCAATGTCGTTTATAAGAAAGAAAGAAAGAAAGAAAGAAAGAAAGAAGAGAAAGAAAGAAAGAGAAGGAAAGTGACATATTTAAAACGATATCACATATAATGGGAATTCCATGTAAATATAGATACGCTGTTAACGATGTATTTTACTTTGTGTTGCCGAATAAGATGAAACAACTTGTTCTCTATTTATAGATCTGACTGGTTTGACTTTCAACACCTCTAACGTGAAAGCGAGAAATACTATCTTTCTTAACCTCGATCAGACCATGACCGTCTCCCCAGAGGGTTACACACTTACTGTCAGTCGGGATGAAGAGACTGTCGTTATTAACGCCAGAAACAAGACGGGTCTCTTTTATGGCGGTCAGTCATTGGCCAGTCTTCTAGCTGGTAACGACAACCAGCTGCTACCGGAAGTCACGATTTCGGATGAGCCTCACTTTCAGTTTCGAGGAATGTACGTTGACCTTGCGAGGAATTTCCACGATAAAAATGACATTATAAGATTAATGACAGGGATGGCCACATACAAACTCAACAAATTACATCTACATCTTGCTGATGACGAGGGCTGGAGAATAGAGATCCCAGGACTTCCGGAACTCACTCAGGTGCACAAATGTAGAGTGTAGGTCGTATTCTTCTTCCGAATTTTATTTTAAGCTTCATCATAAATATATGTATTTTTCTTTCAGGTTGCTTCTAAACGCTGTCATGATCTCAGTGAAGACCGGTGTCTCATACCACAGCTTGGTTCCGGTCCTCATGACGACACTTCCGGTTCAGGATTTTTAACTAAACAGGACTATAAGGACATCATAGGCTTCGCGAAAGCTCACCATATAGAGATAATACCGGAAGTAGATACACCTGGACATGCTCGCGCAGCTATCATCGCCATGGAAAAGAGATTCCGGAATTTCGAGTCCACTAACATCACAGCTGCGTCGGAGTTCCGTTTAATTGACCCAGATGACACTTCACGATACTTTTCAGTTCAGATGTTTTCAGATAACGCTATCAATCCATGCATAAATTCCACTTACAGATTTCTAGCGAAGGTCATGGACGAGATAAAAAACATGCACGAGGAGGCCGACCAGCCATTAAAAGTTTACCATTATGGCGGAGATGAAGTTCCAAATGGCGCTTGGGTTAATTCTACTTCCTGTAAAAATCTATTATCAACACTTCCACCAAGCGAGGACTCTAGATACCTGAAACTTTATTTTTTAAACCGAACTTCAGAACTAGCCTTTAACCGTAACTTAGTGCTGTCCGGTTGGGAGGACGGATGGATGGACAGAAATAAATCCCCTTTTAACCGAGACATGTTTCAGAATACTGATATCATGGCGAATGCCTGGGACAATGTATGGGAATGGGGGTCCGCCAAACGGGCTTATAACTTCGCCAACCAGGGTTACAAGGTATGGATAAAAACATTACCAAGGGCAATTAAGCCAGCAAATGTCATTATGGTCTGTGTAAATCCGTACACATACTTTTTTTCTGATGACAAAATGTACAAGGTAGATTACTTATGTACCTTTGTGGGAACTCTTCAGCATTGCTTTGGTTATATAAGGAAAAAGAATATTTATGGCAAAATAATGGACAATAATTCATATACAATACCAAACCTTTCATGATTGAAGCTATATACATAGAAGATGGCATTCATGGACGATATATCAGTCACTGATACGTTAAATATTTTATGTATGACTTAACACTTAGAGCTCATGTCAGTTTTGTGGTTTTTTGTCGTTTCTCACCACCAGGTGGTGCTGTCACACGTTACGCATCTCTACTTTGATCATCCGTATGAGCCTGACCCTGAAGAGAGGGGTCTTTACTGGGGTCCTAGGTTCACCGACACTTTGAAAACATTTGGCTACGTAACAAGTGACCTTTATAAAAACATTGACGTCAGAAGATCAGGGGAGGTAATCACTAAAAATGAAGTCTGTGAAAAGAACAATGTTGGATGTCCGCCGTTACAGAAACCGGAAAATATCGTAGGTAAGTTTTTTGACTCCTATACCTAGTTCCGTGGTAAGATAGACAGAAAGGCACACGACACGGTAAAATACAGGACGAGTTCGATCACCGGCTATTTACAAGCAGTCACGTGTTCCACCCAATGGGGTTACATTCGCCGATTAAGACAAACCAATCACCGTCGTCCTTACAAATGATGATACACATAAAATTATTATACACCAAGGTTTGTAGAAAACCTGACAGTGACCGGTAAGGTGACACATTCAGGTGACCTTTCAACTAACCAATCAAAATGCGACTTTCAATAATTTGCCAGAGCCTTGTTCTCTTCGGTTGTTATCGTGGAAAGGCGTAGTTCTAAAAATGTGACATGTGTAAGATCACGTTTCGTTCGTGTTCAGTACGAGAGGTCCAAAGAATTGCCTCTAGGAATAAAAATTTTCCTGACGTGAAAGGCATAGAGCAAACGTGCTGTGCACTGTACCCGTAGCTAATGTTAATATATAAATACTATGATAGTATTTTCACTTTTCTGAATATGTTTGATTCACTTTTTAAAATAAACATGGAGATGCTTTTACAGAAATAAAATTGGCATGAATTGATATTTCTTTATTCCTACAACTACCAGGATTATGCTTAACCAATATAAGACATCACAGCATTAACAAAACCACACGAAATATCAACGTCACAGTAATAGCGCGATCGATCACTCGCTGTAGCGCGCCAAATATTCTTCGTTTCCTGAAGTACTAACCTGTTAACCAAAATTAATTGATGTTTTGTTATCTTTGTACTTACAACCGCAGATATTGCCATCATGGTTTATAAGGCTCGCTCTTTCCAGGCAAGCACTGCCTGACTCATATTGACCCAATGTTAAGAATCTCAACCATACCACGAAGATGGTTGTAGCGCCCAGCTCAAGCTGCCTTGCAGCCAAACATATTCGTTAGATAATGTGTGTGTTGTGTGTGGATTTCTATTTACCGTTATTGTTACTACTTTTGAAAGAAATGAAGTGACACCATAATTCTGTGCTTCTATTTCCTGTCTAATCTCTTTCTGTTTCTATTCCAATTTACATACGCTGCCAAACAGGTAATAAGAGACGAATTTCGATTGGCTTAAATGGTATTGTAATGTAATGAGGTCATTTGAACGTGACCTCTTACAGCCACCTTCAGATCTTGATAACGTTGTTAATAATAATTATTTTTATTTAAATATAATTGCATGTACAGACAGTTTCTCGTCGCTCTGGTTAAAGAGAAACACTATTATCTATAATCGTCTATACATGTACACTGTAACTTCCGGTTTCCATACACATGCGCATTACTAAAGTGAGATCTTACCAAATTTGCCAGAAAATATATAGCCCTGTTGAGTTGTTGATGATTTCTTGGCCAGATGTCGATTTGTTTTTATGGCACAACTTTCGAATTGTTTATTTATCTGCATACTTGACTGACAACGGTTCGTATGACGTCATTTCAGGTCTCCAAGGACATATTTGGTCAGAAACCGTTCTTTCCCGCCAACTTTTCGACTATATGATTTTCCCACGCCTCCTTGCTGTGGCAGAGAGGGGTTGGCACCGGGCATCATGGGAAGATATCGAAGATGAATCGGACAGAAAGTCGGCCATAATGGCGGACTGGAAACGTTTTGCAAAAAGTCTTGGAACAAAGGAGCTGAGACGTTTGGATGAGTTGAACATACAGTACCGGGTTCCTCCACCAGGAGCTAGGTCAGACTTTGTCATTTGTCCTGCTTCAACATCTATTATCACAAGAAAAACTGATCATCACACCCACTAAATGTCAGATAGAGATATAGAGTTGTTTATATAATGTGTTATTTATCAAACTTTTGGAACTTATCCTTTCACACTAGGCAGTAAACATTTCAGTAGATTATCGTCCGGAGCTGATTAATTTGGTTCCGTCCTTTACAGAGTCGATGGTGATGTTGTACACCCAACTGTGACTTACCCGGGACTTAACGTAGAGTACAGACGTCCTGACCAATCAGAGTGGTCGCTGTCAACCAATCAGGGGGTGCCTTTCAATGGGAATGACGTCATATTTCTACGAGCCAGGTAATATGCATGTATAATGGTACAACAGGAGGAAGCTTACTTAGCGTAGGACAGGTTTGGGAAAGAAGATTGGGATTGAGACGAGGAATGGTTTGTTTTTTATGTCATCTGACAAGAGAGGTCAGGGTGGTTTATAACCATAGTGTGCGCCGCTGTCTGACGTGCGTCAACATATTAAATTTAGAATTTTTTCCCGTGTTTATCCAATGTTATTAAGCTGCAACTTGTCTGAAATGGTCTTGACCACATTTTTTAGGTTGGTCCAAAATCCAATATGGCTGCCATCTTGTTTAAACTCCTTCTCAGGTTTAAATAGTGGTGGTGATGTAAGGAAAGATAACTGACAAAGTTTTCGTTATTTATTGGCCTCGTCAAACGTTCAATATGGCAATCCTTGTAGCCATTTTTGTAACAATCAAGGTTTCCCCGAAAATTACTTAGTTTAAACCATTTCTCAAGGGGCATTGAACTGAAACTTGCCTGAAATGGTCCTGGCAAAACACTGTTATTTTCTTGTTGGCATGAAATCGCATTTGGCCGCAATCTTCATCAACTCATTTTAAAACCTTCTCGATGCCATTGAGCTGAAATTTTGTAGGAATGTTAAGAAACCGGAATGAAGAAGGTTTTATCTTTATTGCTAAAATAATGCGAATTATTTCAATAATTTGATAACAGTTCCTATCGCTACTATTGTTGTTCTAAATATAGGTCTTGATAGTCTGATGACCAACAAGCCCCATTGGCCTCTTGTTTGATATAGATTATTTTCTCTCTTTTTCTCAAAATGAATGCTTTTCCTTTATATAGTTAGCATGAACGCCATATAATATTTTTTCTCAGATCAGCTAATGGTACGAGGACTAGCAGAGAGGTCACAGTGACGTCAGGTAAGGTCATGAATCTGTGATAATAGATACATATACCTAATGATAAATCCTAATGATAAATCACAGATCTGACTGTTCTGATAGATCCTGTTCTCAAAGTCATAGATCTAACTGTTCTGAAAATTAACTGTTCTGATAGTCTAACTTTCTGTTCGGATCCTTCATGACTTAACTGTTCGGAGTTTCTCAGAGATCTAACTGTTCGGATAGATCCAGTTCTCAAAGTCACAGATCTGACTGTTCGGATAGATCCAGTTCTCAAAGTCACAGATCTGACTGTTCTGATAGATCCAGTTCTCGGTCACAGATCTAACTGTTCGGATAGATCCAGTTCTCAGTCACAGATCTAACTGTTCTGATAGATCCAGTTCTCAGTCACAGATCTAACTGTTCTGATAGATCCAGTTCTCAGTCACAAATCTGACTGTTCGGATAGATCCAGTTCTCAGTCACAGATCTAACTGTTCGGATAGATCCAGTTCTCAGTCACAGATCTAACTGTTCGGATAGATCCAGTTCTCAGTCACAGATCTGACTGTTCGGATAGATCCAGTTCTCAGTCACAGATCTAACTGTTCGGATAGATCCAGTTCTCAGTCACAGATATAACCGTTTTATTATCATTTTGTTGAACGTTTGTCTCTGTTTTAAATAGATCCAGTTCTCAAAGCCACTGATCAGACTGTGGTTGACTACATTGCTGAGAACCTAGATGTGAAGGTTCAGGTAGTTGACAACATACAGAACGATGTCACTGTAGAGATGCGTATGAGTTTAACCAACACTGGTGGGCGTTCCATACACGCCTCAAGCTGGGCTATCTACTTGGACAATATTCGCATGACTGAACCAGACCGCTTTCCCTACCCTGAGGGCATAGAGTTGAAAGGAGTTCATTTAAGGCTTTTCCACATAGGCGGGAGCTTATTCAAAATTGTTCCGGAAACTTCCTTCCAGTCCTTTACCCCAGAACAAACGTTATCGTTTCCGTACGTTGATAGGTATTGGAAGGTGGCACGTACAGACGTGATGCCAAATATGTATGTTAGTGGAGAGGGAATGAAAAGTAAGGTGATACAATCAACCCAGGGAGAAAAACTGGGGTTTGTTGGGAATTTCTCGACAAAACACCAATGGAAGAGGTACCCCCAGGATCAGTATGATCCGTTCCTTGCCCGCACGAGGCACGCCATCAACTCTGATGCTATAGATGCGGGACATGCTGGGAAATGGATAATCCCTACACCAGTTACTCAACTGTTGACAAATGAAACCAAGGTGACCGTCACGGATGACTGGGTTGTGGTAGACCTGGGGGAATTCCCACAGGAAGCGGCGGGTTTAGCAGGTACGTACCATCTGTGAATCGTTGGTAATGAAATCAGCTTCTTTTGTGGACAGCAATTTGAATGTAAGTTTAGCAATTTATATGACTTTAATAATAATTTTCTTCGTCAGTTTAATGATACGAAAGTATGTTACTTGCTTATCGTCTATAAATTGCAGCTATGTTCAACCTGTCCGTGGTCAACACCAAACCCAATGACAAGTACATTGGATATCGTAAGGAGGTTGTACTCGATAACAATGCGAATATTGTACACTCGGAAGCTTACAAAGTGGATATTATTTCCGGAAATGACTTGATTCTGCTAACGGCCAATCAGAGTGCAGGGGCATTTTACGCAGCAAAAACACTTGACGCACTGTCACGTACTGTCGAGAGTGGAAGAGAACTTCCGAACGGAACCGTAATAGATGGCCCCCGATTCAAATACAGGGGAATGCACTTAGATGTTGGTCGTAATTTCCATTCTAAAGAAGAAGTTTTAAAACTTCTGGATGTTATGGCAACGTACAAAATGAACAGATTACATTTACATCTGACCGAAGACGAAGGTTGGAGACTTGAAATCCCTGGTCTACCCGAGCTGACGGAGGTAGGTTTAATTCCAGTCATTTATATAAAGGGACGATTTTGCCACCATGTTTTGTTTAAGCAACGTATATCTTGGTCAATGGTGGATCGACCTCTTTGGAATATAACCAAGAATAACCGTATTGTAATACTTCGTTTTAAGCATAACAAGGTCAAGGGCTTTCAGCGTTTGGTTTCTCCTTTTATCTTAATCAAATAAACTGATTCCTATCACCTTGACCTACTTTCAAAGTCAAAGCCAAATCTGTGGAAACTTCTGAATAATATTAGGATATAATGCTTGACTTTGATAAAACTGGGGAAAAAAACACCTCAGATTCAAGTAATGTCAAATTGATCACACGAGCTAAAATTGTACAGCAACGTTTTCACTCTTGAAAAACTGATGAATTAAAACCAAGCTGAGAATTAATTCATTTTGATTAATTTCTTATTTCCGCACTCAATTTCATATTTAAGTAACAATTTAGTTTTATAGTCCCTTTGCGCCACTTGAATTGTTGGATATTACCCACAATGCATTATAATGTTATTCAGGTTGGCGCCAAAAGATGCCATGATGAGGCCGAACTCAATTGTATTTTACCACAACTTGGCTCGGGGCCAGACACCTCTACTTCCGGCTCTGGGTATTATCATGTGTCAGAATACAAGGAAATACTTACTAGCGCCTCTCAGCGACATATTCTGGTCATCCCGGAGATTGATATGCCCGGACATATCCGCGCTGCCATTAAAAGTATGGAGGCAAGGCAGTTACGATTTCCAGCAAACGAAACGGCAGCTAATGAATATATTCTGACCGAAAAAAACGATACGTCTAAATACCTTAGTGCCCAGCTATTTACCGATAATGCTATGAACCCATGTCTCGATTCTACTTTCAAATTCACTGATCACGTGATTACAGAGATTGTTAAAATGCACAAAGACATTCAGCCCTTGCAGATGTTCCATTTCGGAGGCGATGAAGTCGCGAAGGGCGCATGGACGAACTCTTCTGCCTGTCAAACTTTCATATCAAAAGAGAATACCATTAATAGTGTGTTAGATCTAAAAGAATATTTTGCTTCAAAGATTGCTAGTCAGGTAGCGACACATGGAATAAACCTCGGTGCTTGGGAAGACGGTCTGATGGAAGGAACCAACCCATATGATAAATCAGGGCTCCCTAGCAATATTGAGTAAGTAGGGTAGTGGTTTTTAACCTACAAACCTAACATATAGAATAAATAGTTCTTCGGAGTTTACATGGAACTCTCCTGAGTCAATATCGTGATAAATATTGCCGGCAGCATGTTTATATCAATGTAAGAGTTTCCATATACATATCTCAAGGTTTTTACGTAAAACAAATATGGAGGACGAAATCAGTCGAAGGCAGCCATTTTGTCCTTTTCTTTTGTTGCAATCTACGACGCAATCTCGGCGTCCATATTATTATATCACAGTCTGACTGACAAAGCCAATGAAAAACACGTCAGGGTATATTGGCAAACTCACTGGATAACAGGCCGATCATGTGATAAAAAGCTAGCCGACTGTTGGTCGTTTGAGAGTAATTATCAATTTTATCCAACATCTACGTTTCAGTGTATATGGCTATGCGTGGGACAATGTTTGGGAATGGGGCGTTTCTGAACGAGCTTACAAGATGGCTAATGCTGGATACAAGGTAATGGTGCAGATGACATAGTATAAAATAGATCTTCTTCTAAATCCCTTAAAATGGTTATTGTGCTTGCTTTTTGATATCTGAATAGTTCCTTCGCCCATAAACTGAAAAATTACATTTAAAATGGTAAGTTAAACTTTTAATTCATTGGCACAATTGAATTTTATTAACTTTCCAATAATACCTCGTTTATATTTATGAGAACGTGGCATTCTTAATTAGCATGGCTATGGACGTTGTTGATGAAGATGCTCATTCCTGTAAAAATCTTAATCTCATTGTTTGTTTCCAATGATATCAGTGCAATTTCTTCTTTTACGAATTTTTCTTTATTGCATGGAATTCTATTTAAAGATCACAAAAGTTTACTGTCATCACAAGGGCCAATTTCATCACGAAAGATTACTGTTATCACTAAAGGTCACTGTTATCACTGAAGGTCACTGTTATCACAAAAAGTTCACTGTTATAATTTAAGGTCACTGTCATCACTCAAGGTCACTGTTGTCACAAAAAGGTCACTGTTATCATTTATAGTCACTGTTATCACTAAGGTCACTGTTATCACTCAAGGTCACTGTTGTCACAAAAAGGTCACTGTTATCATTTATAGTCACTGTTATCACTAAAGGTCACTGTTATCACTAAAGGTCAAGGTCAATGTTATCACTAGAAATCTATGTTACCTCTTAAGATCTTTCTTATCAAACCATGTCACGTGTACCATTCTATTTTCTTTTCCAGGTTGTGCTGGCGCATGCGACACATTTGTACTTTGATCATCCTTATGAGCCAGACCCCGAAGAGCGCGGGTATTACTGGGCAACACGATACACAAGCACGCGCAAAACATTCGGCTACATACCCGATAACATCTACCTGAACGCTAAAGTAAAACGGTCAGGAGAGAAATTGAATCTGGGAGAAATATGTGAGGGTGCGCAATGTGTGAAGTTGGAAAAACCGGAGAACATCGAGGGTTAAGTATAATCAGGATAAAAAAGACCAGAGGAACATCGAGGGTTAAGTATAATCAGGATAAAAAAGACCTGAGGAACATCGAGGGTTAAGTATAATCAGGATAAAAAAAGACCTGAGGAACATCGAGGGTTAAGTATAATCAGGATAAAAAAAGACCTGAGGAACATCGAGGGTTAAGTATAATCAGGATAAAAAAAGACCTGAGGAACATCGAGGGTTAAGTATAATCAGGATAAAAAAAGACCAGAGGAACATCGAGGGTTAAGTATAATCAGGATAAAAAAGACCAGAGGAACATCGAGGGTTAAGTATAATCAGGATAAAAAAGACCAGAGGAACATCGAAGGTTAAGTATAATCAGGATAAAAAAGACCTGAGGAACATCGAGGGTTAAGTATAATCAGGATAAAAAAGACCAGAGGAACATCGAGGGTTAAGTATAATCAGGATAAAAAAGACCAGAGGAACATCGAGGGTTAAGTATAATCAGGATAAAAAAGACCAGAGGAACATCGAGGGTTAAGTATAATCAGGATAAAAAAGACCAGAGGAACATCGAGGGTTAAGTATAATCAGGATAAAAAAAGACCACAGGAACCACTCCTTTTAATATAGATCTTAGATTAGATACAATGATAAGGTACTGATTTGAATGAATTAGACTGAATAAGGCATGTGTTTTGTCTTAAAATTAAATTCAATTAAGATTTACCGTAACCAGGAGTAGGAAATCGTTTAATTTTGGGAAAATAGAAGAAAATTTCAATAGTTGAATTGTTATCTGCTCTTTCTTCATTTGATATGTGTTTTGAAATTGCAGTATTTGGTTCATTACCAAAGAACTTATCACCTTTGCACCATCAAGCCTTACTTCAGTGACTGGTTTGGCTATATGACATTAAGTATACGTAGAATTTTATTTACTGACTAGAAAAGACTGGTTTTCAAATTTATGGTTAAAATATAGAATGGTGTGATGAAATTATGGTAATGCTTCATTGTAATAGGTATTCAAGGCCACCTGTGGACGGAAACTGTCCGCACGGACGAACAGATGGACGAGATGATATTCCCGCGCATGCTGGCTCTTGCTGAAAGAGCCTGGCACAAAGCATCTTGGGAAGACCTTGCAGATGAGACAGCAAGAACTGCTGGAGAAAAGCAAGATTGGGAGAAATTTGCTAATACCTTAGGATATCGAGAGTTGTCTGTCCTTGATTCTATGGGTGTACACTACCGGATACCGCCTCCAGGGGGCATGTAAGTATATAAAAGATCCTTGTTAAATCATTTTCTCCAAACATATCATCAGACTCATTGAAACATCATATCATTGCTCTTTTTTATACTTTCTAATTATAGCATTCCTATTCCTGTTACCTTGGTGTATTGTTTCATTTTTCAGTTTCAACTCAACTTTTAATCTGAAATAAAAAAAACGTACTTTCACAGCATTGTTCTCTGTTCTAGTCGAAGATCAATTGATTCAAACGTCAGAAATTGCTTTCAACTTAGTTATATGATATCAGTGTCTATTCCAATTTCTCTGGAATAAAACTTTAACCCCAATGTACGGTATTTACAGTAGTGTGTCTGGTGGTTCCATTGTTCTAAACTTGCTTTCGTGTGTGAACGTACTACTTGAATTGACTAAGATTTGCCTGGCAGGTGTCGTCGATGAAGCTGAAGATGTTTGCCCTTCTGGAACACCTGGTCATATTATCCTTGAACTTTCTCAGGAGTTAGCTAGCACAAAGTTGTTCCAATGATCGTTTGCGTTAATGCTGTTCCTTAATTAGAAAGATACATTATATCCCTGAAGATGACAATTTCCTTATTGTTACAATAAAGATTGAATTCAGCTGTTGAGGATTATAAGTTTAGCATCAAAGACGAAACAGCTGTATGACATAGCATCACTGATGAGTCCTATAAGAACGAAATAGCTGAATGATGTAGCATCACTGACGAGTCCTAGAAAGACGAAACAGCTGTATGATGTAGCCTCACTGACGAGTCCTGAAAGGAGGAAACAGCGGTATGATGTAGCATCATTGCCGAGTCCTAGAAGGACGAAATAGCTGAATGATGTAGCATCATTGACGAGTCCTAGAAGGACGAAATAGCTGAATGATGTAGCATCATTGACGAGTCCTAGAAGGACGAAATAGCTGAATGATGTAGAATCACTGACGAGTCCTCTAAGGACGAAACAGATGTATGATGTAGCATCACTGACGAAACAGCGATATAGTATAACAGCACCGACGAGTCCCGGAAGGAAAAACACAGCAGTATTATGTAGCATCGGATCAATACAGTAATCATCTGACCAATAACTAGTCTTATCTGGAAAAATTTAAGTCATAATTCTACATGACTTTATGATTCACTTAGCATCACCCACTGTTACGTGGATAGAACTGGAAAAGATATTATCAAAGACGGACTGTGTCACTGTATTAATAAATATTTATATATAATATTATCATAACAGATCCAGGGATGGGCGCTTATTGGTCAATTCAGCTTTCCCAGGTCTTCGGATAGAGATCAGCACCGATAATGGCAACACATGGAAGGAAGTTAAAAGATCTACCACAGTCACAGAGGGGTCAACAATTCTGCTGAGAACAAAGTATGTATGACAAACAGCCGAGTTGTTGGCAGGTCATTTTTCTTCACTGTTCTCGAAACTAAATACCTTGAAAAGAATTTTCCAAATTATTAGCTCAATAATTTTCAAACAAAAAAAAATAGAAATAGATAGTTTTTAAAAAGGCAACAAAAGAACTTGACTATTTGAACCAACGGAAAAAAACAGTCTTGACACCAGTCACCACCTCACTAAACAGTCTTGACACCAGTCACCACCTCACTAAACAGTCTTGACACTAACCACCACCTCACTAAACAGTCTTGACACTAACCACTTTCAAATTTCTTTGTTTCTGCATTAGTTTGATATACATCGGATTATATTGATTTACAGGTCAGCTGATTCCAAGCGTAGAAGTCGGGTCGTGTCACTGAAAGATTCGTCATCCCAGGCATCTGGGACATCAACGCCACTTCTCAGTGTCACCGGTGCCTTCATTGCTTTGATATCGTGTTGGATTTGGACTTCAATGTCAACAGCGCCTGCGTGGCTTTAATAACTCTTCAAAGACATGAATATGATACACTGGACAGAGTTGCCTCCCTTCCCATGTGTGATGCCATTGATAAAGGTGTGGTCCTTAAATAGATAGATATGCTAAAAGGCTGGGGACAAAGCCTGGTTAAATAAATGAATATAAAGATAAACGAAAACACAGTAATTACGATGAAAATCAAGATTAATGGAAATTAATTAATGTGATGCTAAAGTCAACGTCATGAATTTATAATGGTGGCATACCCTCTATTGTCTATCAAATTTACAAATGTCACATGATTTACAAATAGGTCATGTGATATATGTACACAAACATCGCGCGAGTCTCAGTCATGTGATTTTAACAAGCATGCTATTAACATAAATGTATGATTCACACATGTACAGTAATGAACACACATGAAACTTGATACATGCAAACATCATCAACTTATACTTTATGTGCGCGCATATCATGTAATTTATACCAACATATTACCATCCTCGATAGTCCAGGGGTTTCGATCACATTCACTCACTGCATCCCTGTAACTTGGCAAGTAAAGTAATTTGATTGGTTCCGGGAGAAAAATAACTGGCCAATCACCGGTTGATAAGCTCCTTTTGAAGAAGGAGAGACGCCCAACTTTATGCTATTACAATAAACCCTTATGTGGCCTCAACATTCATTCGACGTACACCAAAGGATCAAACTAGTCTTTTTTGTCTTGTCCACAAGGTGTTGCACATGGAACTTTCATTTTTGCAATGACATGTTCCAGGAATGAAGAGAGCGAAAGTGATCCTAACTGCTGTAGTATAGAGGATGACATATTACAGATTGTGTGATTAACACAAAACATGTGTATTAATTACACGGGATATGCGATTGTATCAAAGTATTCGCTCCTATTATGTAAAGTTTTTGTGCCATACATCATAGATACATTACATGTATATATTTCAATTTCATTCATGACATTTATCACAAAATTCCTTGTTAAAAGCATTTAATCAGAGTCATTGCATGTAAGCGTGCAGTTTTTTAAATGTCATTTATAGACCTGTAAATGTCATTTATAGACATGTAGTGTCATTTGTTGGGTTTTTTTTTTCTAAACTGAAGAGCTGAAAAGTATGTCCGTTAAGTAGCAATATCCGAACTTGCACATTAGTAATGAGAGAGATATAGAATTGTCTGAACTAAAAGATATAGGCGCTGAGGTAAGTCCGGACAAACGAGTACACTAAGAAGTAAAATGAAAGGAGAATTACATTTTTCATATAAAACTTGAATCCTATAGTGGGTTCGGATTAACCACTGAGAAAACTCCAACTAATTAATGATTTGCATGGTGTCTGATTTTCCTAGCAGTGTGTGTGCATGGAGTCGATGTGATTTTCTTTAGTTGAACAATAAAATGGTTAAAAAGGACATTTCCCGTGTTTTTATTTGCACACAGTTAATCTTGTTTAATTTAATTGAATAATTTGTGTTATTCTTTGTCAGACAACATAAAAAAGAGAAAAATATCCAGTATGAAAACTCCCCAGAAGCGCTAGATTGTACAAAACAGTATTAGGTAGTTCTACCAAAGGAACGCTAGATTGTACAAACAGTATTAGGTAGTTCTTGGAACAAGAGAGCGCTAGATTGTACAAACAGTATTAGGTAGTTCATGAAACAAGAGAGCGCTAGATTGTACAAACAGTATTAGGTAGTTCATGAAACAAGAGAGCGCTAGATTGTACAAACAGTATTAGGTAGTTCATGAAACAAGAGAGCGCTAGATTGTACAAACAGTATTAAGTAGTTCTTGAAACCAGAGAGCGCTAGATTGTACAAACAGTATTAGGTAGTTCATGAAACAAGAGAGCGCTAGATTGTACAACCAGTATTAGGTAGTTCATGAACAAGAGAGCGCTAGATTGTACAAACAGTATTAGGTAGTTCATGAAACAAGAGAGCGCTAGATTGTACAAACAGTATTAGGTAGTTCGTGAAACGATAGGCCTTTCGGCCTCAGCAGTCGCCGGACTTGCACTTTTGTTAACAAATGAAAAGTACAAACTAACCGAACTGTTTTATCCAATATCTACCATACAGATTAAAGCCTGTGGAGTACTGTTTGTACCAAATGAGGATTGAAAGAACATTGCATAAAACAGTCAAACTCAAACATTTGAACCATGTGACCTTGGAAGTGGTACAAGGTCATTTACTTGCACTAACTTGGTAGCCCTTCATTCCAGCATGTTACAGTCCCAAAATCAGCGCTTCCAGTTATTGAGCAGAAGTCGAAAATGTAAATCGTTTACGGCGGACGTTGCACAACAGACAAATGCGATCGTAACATTTTGTCTCAGGTGACCTGAAAAAACTTGGTGTCATCCTCGTGTTCTTTGTAACACCTTTTGTTTTCAAAGATAAAATTTTAAAAAAAAGTTGCCGTAATATTCGAGTTTAAATAACGTTTTATTACGGACAACCTGCAGTAAAACATCCAATTGATCCAGATGACCTAGAAATTGGGTCAGAATTATTTTTCTGCATGAAACGGACATCAATCATCCTGATAAATTATAAATTGATGTATTTCATCGAAAGTCAGTTCTCCAATGACGTAATACAAACTAAATTAACCTTTTCATAAAAAACAAAAAAAATGATCTTTTTTTAATTGTACTCACAGCCGTAGCATATAACAAGGGATGAATTCTATAAGAAATTCTCCAGCAAGTTTTTGTGATTTTCAACATCCAGTACTCAAACGTTATTACCGACTTCTGACCAGAAAATAAGCTACTCCAGGGATTAAATACAGAATTAATACAACAATTTCAACAAATAATTATTAACACCTTTGAATCAATGATTTGTTTTAATGTTTTAATCAATATGTTGTATGCTGATATTTCAAATACAATACTGCAGTATTGTGGACGTAAATCAGATCTCGAGTAGGCTGTGTTTTGAAAAGTAAATGAAATAGGAAATAGAATGTCGGTATTAATTTTTCGAGAATTGGATGCTTTGTGTTTTACAATCAAACAAAGACTAAAATTATACAGTTTTATGATAATGATAATGTATAATTCAAATCCGTAACTTACTTGCATTACAATTCCATACATTTATACAATGTAAAATCAATAAATAAAATATCATATACACACATACTTATATGAAACAAGGAAAAATCTCGTCCATAACAAAATCAAAATTCAAAATCAACTTGCACACAACATCATAACACGGATGTGTATTTATATATCTACATACAGAAATACATAACTGACAGGTATGTATGTATAAACTTATTGTCACTTCATGTTTATTTATAGATTTATAGATGCAGATAAACATATAAAGTACATATTAGTATCTATTTATAGATCTACGTGTGAATACGTGTATAAGTACAAATTTGTATCTATTTATAGATCTACAATGTGTGAATACATGTATAAGTATACATTTGTATCTATATAAAGATCTATCACACAGTGTGAACATTCATATACGTTAACATTTGCATTTATTTATAGATCTATAACACATTTACATATTTAACAGTATACATTTGTATCCACAAACACAATTTCTCAACCCATAGACCATATATATAAACGTACTATATTACAAATTAGCTGCTTAATGTTAATATAGAATTTCTAGAATGTATGAGACAGGACAACATCAAAGGACATTACGTGTGGACAAGGTCGTGGGTACTGTGTAAAGCCACAAGTGTTGCTAATGCGATTTCGCCACAGTTATTGAGGTACCCATTAGAGAGGAGAGTGTGTTTCAACCGGACACCATACCATTTCTACATATATTACAGAATTTGTCAGATCATCACTTGGTCAATACTCGGCCAATCTTGTCATCAAACACTAACTGAACATTTAAAATATTTCTCTTCTGGGCAATGTATGGGTTATTAAGATCTGCAGCCCCTATAATACAATAGTATATATACATGGTCTGTTGGTAGGGAATTCTTGTCGAATTCCTGTGTTCGTATCTATAAATGGACATCCAATACATGTATGAAGAATGTACACATATGTTCGAGAGATTAATAAAGATCAGTACGTATATAAAGATACTATATTCTGATGACTATGTCACCAGGAAAGAGACCTTCCTCACCAAGACAACGTCACGCAGATGCAAAACCGGTGACCAACAAACAAACCATGATCTAATATCGTGTTCCAAGTAGTACCATTATATTTTACCAAAAAATGTTTAAAAGTTGCCGAAGGCTACAAGTTATACACCTAGTAAAAACACTTCCCTAAAATTGCATTCATAATTATACTTCAGTTCAAATTGTTTACCTGCCCATTAAGATGACATATCTAGCTAAATTACCTGCCAACAGAGACCATCAATCAAACCTTTCAATAACAACTATGGATTTAAATTATTCATAAACCCACCTGTCCAATAAAACCACTTACCTATGAGGACTATTGACTGGTACAACAAGTTTTCATGCACAGTTTTCAATTTCCCTTTTTTAGTAAAAATTCAGTTATATCATAGATTATTATTGTAAATTGAATGAAGGGACAAAACAACTGTTTTCCTTCAACCAACATATAAATGCCATGTTACCAGTTTTATCTTGGACAAATATCAATCGCAACAAGCTCACGGTAAGGTGTGTGTAGATTTATTGGTTTGTGGACCGGTTTCGCCGGAACTTGGTGGGCTTCATCAGGACCAGTCTTATCTAGCTTACATTGTAGGTGTTGGTCTGTGTTACCACTGATGATCAATAATTCCTCCTCACAAGTTATTCATAACACTCTTTATGTTACAAAATATTGCCCTGACTCAACATCAACAAGGAAACACAGTACTATATACTGGGTAACATTGGTCCTGAATTATTTTCATCCTATATTAAGATAATTGTCTTTTTCCGGTGTTAAATCCACCGTGTAGACATAATGTCATATTTTTCAGTTTTAACTCCAAACTTTAACCTCGATTTTGTGGTCACCATATTGACTAAATTCAAGATTTCCTCGTAGACAGTGGGTAACTACCTACTAAACATCTACTGTACTAACAACCGTTTATTGGTAAACTTCAGAAGAAAAAATATATGTTCAATGGTCTTTATTACAGGGAAAATCCTGGGGTCATTTTCAACAATTTTCTGTCAATAAAGGAATTAATAAGAACTACTCTAGCATGATTAAAAGAAAATGAAAACAGGAGGGTTTAATTTCTGTTTTTAGTGATCAGTAGCCTTTTAATTCCCTCCAGAATTACCCCTGTTAGTAAATGATAGCATTTGCTGTCTACCCGGCCCCACTTGTATAAAATATCTCAACTTGAGATTTCCTCAAGTCGAGATTTTCCTCAGCTAATATCGCCTTGAAAATATCTTGTATGAAAATTCCTCAAGGAATTTAAGGACATCCTAGCCGATGGCTTCCTCCTGTTCCTTGAGCAAATTTTATACAAGCCGTTTTTGAGGAGATATCAGCTGAGGAAAATCTCGACTTGAGGAAATCTCAAGTTGAGATGTTTTATACAAGTGGGGCCAGATCAGCTAACACTCTGTAGAAATACTCATACTCACAAAAACAATCGTACTTTTTAACAGGTACCCCAAACCAAGCACATGGATTATACATAATATACAATGTAAGGTTATGAAAGTACCTCAACATACACACATATCAATATTGATTAATCCTTAACAGTTTTCTATCAATGCTGGTTTATTCAAACTTACAAATATAAATCTGCAAAATTAAAGATAATTTAAAAACTAAAAGCAAGCTCTAGTATTTTACTGCGATTCATATATAAAATGGTGACAAAGAGGGTTGGAGAATTATTGATCAGTTTGTATACGCTAAAAGGATTTAAAATAGGTAAAACATCCAAGAAAGGAATGATGAAAAGACAGACTCGGATATCATTGGACAAAGAAATGAAGAGAAATGGTCAGACAGAAGAAAAAGCTAGAACCCACAGTGGGAAAGAGATATGTGGAGTCTTATCATGTGAACATTTGGTGGAAAAAAAAGTTTCGAAAACAAGAAAAAAGAATGAAAAATGGAAATAAGAACAATTCAATGTGAAAGAGTTAAAACGAAAATGATTGCAATTTCTGCATATGATAAGTGTTAAATGCAATTTCAACATATTCACAAGCATACCAACCAAAGTACAACACATCAACTAAACTCACAGTTTAGTAAATATTGTCTCATATTCAGTATCAATAACATAAACAACATCTGTCAACTGGTGTAATATTGGGGTATATATATATATTTGGCCAGTTGCCAAAAACCAGAGTTATTTGAGGCAGTAGGACTAATCTGCTTCACTACTTCTTAATCAGGCTTTCATTTCTACAGAAGGATGTAATATATCTTTGGCAGGAGATCTGTTTCTGTTATATTTACTGGGACTCTTAATCCACCATTATTATCATTATTACAATCTTAACGACCCATCATTAGGGCCATCAATTGGTGTCTAAATCCACAAATTTATTTATATATTCAAAAAAGAATGCACATAAAAAAAAGTTGACATGACTAACAGATTTCATGAGTAAGATTTTACCAAAAATTTTTTTCAAGTGTCAACGAAAATATATTTATGGTAAACCAGAAAATCTGAACTCATGAAAATATATGATTTCACCATAATTCAAACAAAACTTAAAAATTACTGTTTTAATTTTGATTTTCTAACTTATGTATTCCGTTTCTCACCATGTAGAATATTTTTGAAAGATGATATAATGTTTTGGAGTTAAACAGTGTTAATCAGCCAGCAGTAGGCTACCATAAAACTTACAAGTACCATTAAAAGTTGACTGTCTTAATGTAATATCATTTGAACAAATTTTTAATTTTTTACTGGCTACAACAACATTAATAATTTCTCCTTTATCATTGAAGATTATATAATATAGATTTGGATGTTTATATCATTTGCTACCATTTTAAAAAAAAATTTTTTTGCAATAATCCTATGTTAAGAAAAACAACCTACCACGTTTGTAACGTCTGACTACAGATATCACTGTTCTGTAATAAGCACACACCCTACTTCCAGTTACATTGTACATGAAGCCTCCTGAGCATACTGAAGGGAAAGTACCATAACATTGCTCTCATATAATCAGGATTTTGGCAACTGGATACTGGCACAATAATATAACATCATTCAACAACACACTGTAACATTATGTTCTCTATATTCCACTGTCATCACCTCTTTGGGGAGAATTTGGGGTTCTGTGGTCCTTCTGTGTACGATCTCAGTTCGTAGTTGGCAACTCTGGGGTCAAACTCAAACTTGTCTCTAGCGAAGATCAGTCGTATATCGGTGTGAAGGAAGATCTTGCCTGTCTTCGTACTTGAAATTCTAGACGAAAAAATGTCATCCTTACATCAGTAATGTTCAAAACAGACAAAGGGAAACCATTGCTTTAACACATTTTTTACAAGAAAATCAACTTAGCAAATTAATTCTGTCAAAATAAAGAGATTATCTTCTCTAATACACAAGTTCATGTATCACTTTCAATATTCAATAGGTTAACTTGAGAGACCATCAGCAGAAAAGTTTTTTAATACAACTATACAAGGGGAATAACTCCTCTATACCCAACTTTCGTTCTGGGGTAATTTTTTTTAATACATTTTCAAACAGGAGGAATAACTCAACTTTTTGGTGTTAAAAGGTAGTTAAAAGCGTTTATATTACACAAGGGGAATAACTCCTTCATATCTCTAAACATTTTATTGTTAAAAGGCAGTTAAAGTTAAAGGCAGTTAAAAGGTATATATACACACACACACACACACACACACACACACACACACATATAAATACAAGGGGAATAACTCTTGCACACCTGAGGTGGATAAGATAACGCAGGTAAGATGGCTCTGTACTGTTTGAATCCACTGGTGTATACAACGTTCTTTGTCGTAGGAATGTTTGGCAGTTAGGGGGCATATCACTCAGATCATACATCACAACAAACATCTTCACGACCGTTTTGTTGGGATTGAATAGGGTCTGAAATCAAATCAACATACAATCTTTATAATAAACTGATCACATCTTGGTGTCACATCTTGTCTTTTCCCCCTTGCCTTTCTGAAGAAGAATATATGTCTTTCAGTAAACCAATTATATCACAATCAGATGTATTTTGTACTAGATTTGTTCAGCTATAAAACATCTCAAAATTTTTAAAAGACCAAAAGCAAGAGTGTTTCAAATTTCTTTACGATACTCAATAATTAGTGATAAATATCAGAAATATTTGACTGTAAGAAAGCATTAAAAATTTGCTGAAAATTGAGATCTGTTTAAAAAAAACACCATGTTTTATCATATTAAAATTTGAAATACAAATCATTTGTCTCGGGTTGTTAAAACCTGTTCTTGTTGGTCTACCTACCACTTGAAGTGTGCCACACTTTGGAATGTGATAACCCCGCTTCCCTATACAGTCCAGGTTTATATGACCCTACAACATCAAATGAATCACCATGGTAACCAGGACGACAGGAGTACTTTGTGGTAGTATGTTGAAGAGTCACTTTGATACACTAGTGTCACTTAGTGATCAAGTTTGACGGTAGTATATTATATCTTTAAGGAAACAGAGTCAGAATATATTTCTTGTCTTAAATAAAATACTGATGCTATATATACCTGGTTAGTTGTATCTTTACTAAACAGAAGCATCTTAAAATGGAAAAGATTTTGAGATGTCAAAAATTACACTCACATCAGATTTTTCACAATTATTAGTAGATTGACTAGACAGGATGTAGTCACAATGAACAGACAGGGTGACAGGATGTAGTCACAATGAACAGACAGGGTGACAGGATGTAGTCACAATGAACAGACAGGGTGACAGGATGTAGTCACAATGAACAGACAGGGTGACAGGATGTAGTCACAATGAACAGACAGGGTGACAGGATGTAGTCACAATGAACAGACAGGGTGACAGGATGTAGTCACAATGAACAGACAGGGTGACAGGATGTAGTCACAATGAACAGACAGGGTGACAGGATGTAGTCACAATGAACAGACAGGGTGACAGGATGTAGTCACAATGAACAGACAGGGTGACAGGACATCATTGTACTTACCAGGTAGGGTGACGGGTGTTGTCACACTTACCAGGTAGGGTGACGGGTGTTGTCACACTTACCAGGTAGGGTGATGGGTGTTGTCACACTAACCAGGTAGGGTGATGGGTGTTGTCACACTAACCAGGTAGGGTGATGGGTGTTGTCACACTTACCAGGTAGGTTGATTTGTGTTGTCACACTTACCAGGTAGGGTGGCGGGTGTTGTCACACTTACCAGGTAGGGTGACGGGGCATTGTCATCAGATAGCTGGAAGAAGTAGGCTGTGACAGGAATTGTCACATGTTTTGGACAGAAACATCCCCCGGCCCCAATTTCTGCAGTGAAACCACTGACCACTCCAACTGGCTCAATACGACCATTCAAGACGGATTCCTGTGAAAGAAATTGCCATTAATATCTAAAAATAGCAAAGCCAGCTTTAAGGCTCAGTAGGTGATATATGAAGAAATTTCATCCAATTTTATGCCCAAGAATTTACAAATGTATCAAAGGATGAATGTATTGAATATCTGCAAAAAAAAATTTTCAGTCTGAAAAAAAGGTATGCCCTAATTGAGCATATTTATGGCATTTTATCTTTCTGATGAGAATTCCTGCCTTTAAGACTGTCGGAAGTTTCTATAATAAGAAAGTCACAGAAACAGAATATATTTTAAAGGTTACCTCAAGAATTTTAGCTGGATTGCAAATAGGTTAAACACAAAACAAGACATAAAACTTGTGAATTTATAAATGATTTCAAACTGTTGACCAGACCATTACAACCGAACATTTTTAAAAATATCAAACAAGGGACTGTATCATTCAAAACCTGATAGTTTCATAAATTATGAAACTGTGGATCATTTAACAAAATACCTCAAAGTTTCCTAAGAGACAGTTGGTAGAAGCTGGTGCACTTGTACTCAACACTTTGCTAGAGTTGTCATCAGCGACCCCAGTACTTTCAGATTGTAGCACCAACTTAGAACAGGACAGTGCACTGCAAATGGACATCAAATCTCTCCATAGTATTAATGTTCAACATAATCAAGACAAGCTGTTCTATGAAATATGATGAACTTCAACCTCCTTATTTCGATTCCCCTTCATTAAATTGTGTCAAATGTATATAAATTGTACTGTCTAATGAGTTTTTAAAAATGTATATGTATAGAGAATAATAAACTAGACCCCTTGCATGCTTCCATCCAAGCCAACAAGAGTGATGAATGTAAGTTGGAAAAAATTTGCTTCGCAGTTGTTGTAAAATAACTAAAGTTTATTATATATCATAAATGATTAAGTACAGGAGATGAAAGCAGATACAAGTAATAACAAATAACCCCATCCCATCACCCCCCCCACCCCCCCCCACCCCCGATGAAAACATTGCTAACTAGAACTGTCATCTGGAGGATAACAAATGCCCCCCCCCCTCCCCCACACACACACACACATGCACATAGGCAGAGATGGCCCATGATATTTCTGTATAGTTTTGGAGAAGCCTGGACAAGATCTCTCTAATCAATGATAAGACTTCTTTTGTTAACCATGGCAACCATTTTCATAACCATTCTTCAAAACCCATATATATCAATTTTCTGTGCAATCCGCCAATATTTCAATTTTCATCAAGGTTTCAATAGCAACGGTTTTAAAAACATCTGATGTGCCACATTAAAGGCTGTGCTAAGTTACAATGTTTGATTAATTTGCATTAAAACTGATCAAAGGACTGATAAGCTAAGGACCATTAAATAGAAACCTGTGTCTAGTGCCCTTGTTACCATGACAACGAAAATTTTTGCTGAAAAAAACCTGCATGCACACCTTCGCATTGTCTCAACTAAAACTTTTGAGTAGTTTCATTAAAATTGGTTCACAAAATAAGGTGTTGTACAGACAAAATTTTACAACAGAGAGACAGATAAAACAAGCATTACAAAATACGCCTGTCCTTAGTTGAGCAACCATTACTGGATGAATTTCAGGCAGATCATTTTGGTTTCAAGGTTGTAAGATTGATTTCCAAGATTTTCTACTGAATTTCTATAAAGTTAACGGTGCTTGTGCAAAAACTGCTAAGACGATTTGTAGCAAAGGATATTTTTGATTCGTAGGAAGGATTACTGACAACTCTTAAACAAACGGACATTGAAGATTGGTAGAAAGCTTTCATTCATAGGAAGGCTTATTGATGATTTGTAGGAATGTTTATTATGATATTTACTAAAGTTTACAGACTATTCATAAATATTGCAAGTTCACTGACATTCCGTAATAAAAAATAAAACAAAATAATTGTTATTACCTAAGTTATTAAGCAGAAACATTTTTATGATAAACCTTCATATGAAGTTTCAAATTAACAAATAAAAACTTACTCAAGTTATTGAGGGGAAACCTATTTTGAAAAATGTACCAAGGGCCATAACTCTGTAAATAATGGGCGAAAAATTTGGTTATCTCACTTGACCGGACTTTTATGGTAATAAACCTTCAAACTTTCAAATTAATCTGTAAAAAATTATTCACGTTATTGAACGGAAACCTATGTGCTGCTGCCCGCCCCTGCTAATTCCTGTATACAACTCCGACCCCCCCCCCCCACCCCCCCACATCCTCCTCTATGTTGATTCCTGTATACCATCCCCCTCTTCCCCGCTAACTTTGTTGTAGGGGTCAAAAGGGATTAGTTGATATAAAAACACAGCATTTGATTAAACTGGCCTGATATTGCCTCTTAGAAATGTACATCTTCTGTTGTAAAGTTTATCAAGGTTTTTACAGAACACATATCTATCAAACACTCTGATACGACATCTATCAGACACTTTTAGACACAAATTATTTCCACTGTTAACAACGATAGTAATACCAGGCTACATCATTTTTACTGTCTCATGCTATCACTGTTATGTTACAACTATGTGACCTACTTTTTGATGGCACGTGCATTGATGAGGGTATTGTCATAGTCAAATCGCCCTGTGGACTTTCTTTTCACTGGAGCCTGCGAGGACACACATAAAAGAATCAGTTTTTAAAATTCTGCTTAAGAAGTCCCCAGGAGCTGTGTTGTTTTAAAGAGAAATTTCACAAGTTAAATATATTCAGAATACTTTGTTTACTTCCACAGATGGTATATGCTGTACTACAAAATGCTAATTATTCTTACCTCTACAGGTAGAACAGAGGTGTAAAATTGAAACATAAATCATTAATAAAAATAAATTAAACTTTACCAAACTAGCCAATTTCATGTTGAAAGCTTTACGCAAACATTTTCCTTATTCACTTTGGCAAACAAAAGCCCTGGAGCACTTTGATATTAGACTTGCTAAAGGATATTACCATGACACCACAGACAATTTCAGTTCTCAGCTTCATGAGACTCTAAAACTGGTCAGCATCTAATTACACACCTCAAATCATCACCAACGGTTACAGAAAAAAACACTCTGACCAACAGGTCTATCACAACCCCTTATGGACAAGATGACAGCCTTTTTCACATGACTAACAATTACAACATCAATATTTAGGGCAAGAGAACTTGTCCGCTCATACACTTTGCTCCAACAAGTAAATTTTCCTTAAGCAAACTATATTAAATTTATATAACCTCAACAGTGTTAAATATATCAACACTGTAACAAACCAGAGGCAAAGGGAGATAACTCTTACCGGACTAGAACGGGAGGGTAATCCAGTGGAGGTATTGAACACCATGGCAGAACTCCTGTCAAGAGTCTGACGGAACTCAAAGATGTCTGCTTGCTGTGGTTTTTCCATCTGTAAGCACTGAGTCCTGGTTTCCTCCTGTAATGTATCCATGTGTCAATTTAGATTTTGGGGAGTACAACACTTTTATGGTAATAAAATTTGTCTAGATAAATCCATGGTATCATTTAAATATTCTTCTATATCTTTTTTACAGAGACCTGCACTTTGATTTTAAGTTCATGTAAAAAAATTAAACATATTAAAAACCGGAAAGAAATTTTCACAGCATTTTTATACTCATTCCTTCAAAAGCAAAACATATGTTCAAATAAGTAATTCAGTAATACCAAATTTTTGTTTAATAAAGAAAAATGTTATCTTATAACAGACGGCTTAAATTAAAAAAAAAACAAAAAACAAAAGATAAGGAAAGAGATAGACAACTGGTCCAAAAGTAGGAACCCTTTCATTGTATTCACGAACTTTAAAATCAGTTGTTTTATCACAATTAATTAAATTGTTTGCAAATTTCATCAAATTAAAACAGCATCAACAGTTCAACATTGATATATGCAACAGGTATGTGTTAGCATAATAATACTTACATTATGTAAATTCCTTTTAAGTTCCTTATTTAGAATGTGTTTGCACAGAGTTGTTCCCCCTGCCTTCCTACTCTTTGTAAGGTTATTTCTATCACAGATATTATCAGATTTTGTTGTTTCACCATTTACAGGCAATTCTTTATCATCCACGATGGGTAAATCACAGCTAGGATTTGAAGTTCTTGCCCAATCACAGTTTAAAGTAGACCCAGAAAGACTAGAATCACATTTTATATTAAGACCTGAGAATCCTTTCTCCAATTCAAAGCAGGAATCGTCTCTACTTTTATGAACTGGGACAGCATGCTTCACTTCATGAGTTACCTCCCCTTTTTGAATTTTTTTTGCATTTGATAAGCCATGGTCAAAAGATGCTGACCAAACATCTGAATAACTTGGAGGTGATCTCTTAATTGAAACACCAGTGGATGTTGTGGGAGGTAAATGAGATGAAGCACGATTTGATGTTAGAACTTCAGTAGAATCGGAAAGACTATTGGTGGGTGTAGAATCGTCTGAACATCCGTTTTCAGAAAAATCTTCAATATTTTGAGGAACAGAAAATTTCTGAGAAAAAACAGGCTCAGAATGATCTTTTTCACTCTTTTTGAAGGAAATTTCACAAGCTTCTAATTGACAGAGACTAGGTCCAGGTTCAGATAGACTCTTCTTAAATAAATGTCGTACAACTGTGGGTTTGGAATCTGAATCTAGTTTACACTGATTTCTGTCCAAAGCCATATTGCCTTCTGACTCACAATGTGGAATATCTGTTTTTTTCCTGGCATCCTCTCCTATGTAGAAACGACACTTTGTCAGTGGAATGTTGTCGAGGGTGGTACTGGTTTTCTCTGAAATAGGTGCATGATGGGAAAGACTAGATAGATAGGCTTCAATATCTTCCGATTTCAGTGGCTTCACTGAATCACTAATTGCATCCGACAGAATACGATCTTCCGTAAACGTATCATACTCATCTCCAGGAGCACCGAGGTCGATCTTCCGACGCTTAAAGAACACTGAAGATCCTTTGGTATTTCCGGTACTAGTGAGGAGGACTTTTGGGCTAGGTAAACGTTTAATAAGAACAGAGGGTTCATGACCTTTGGTGTAGGCCACTTCATGGCGATGATCTGACAAATTCAAGGGATTTCCCTTAAAAGTTTGTTTCATTGCAGAAATCTTGTCTGTAATGTCGATTTTGGGTTCATCATATTCATGATTCAATCTTGAACAGGACTGAACAGAGTCGAGGTTCTGATCAGAATTCGGCTGCTGTTTACATCTACTTCCTTGTGGTTCATTAAAATCAACAACAGAAAAGTATCCTACATTTTTGGTCCTTTTAGAGGGTTGACATTTTGGTGGTTTTCTGGATTCATATTGTGTTTCATAAGAAATTGAACAATTTGACCAGAAAGATTTCCCTTGCACATCATCTTTTTGGGAAGTTGATGTAGGATTCAGGGATGAGGAGGAACCTGAAGACTGAGGTTGATCTCTTTGTTTCCACACACTTTTAGACTTGTCTGGGACCTCTTGGAGCGACCTATTACTACTGGTTTGAACACAGGTTGTATCTTTATCATAGCCTTGCACAAGCCTGGCAGGAAAAGGCTTCTTAACTGGTAGGTTTTGTTTCTTTTCATTGGGTTCAGTAAACGGAGTAACTTCCCTTGAACAGATATCGTCTGGCTGCACTGGACTCTTTCGTTTGCGTGTTATGCCAGTCGTAGCATCTTCTTCCATGCACAGAAATATTGGAATAGTCTGCTGGCGAGGAATGGATGACACCTCTGCTCTTATTGCTGCATGTGACAGATCTGCGATCGGGAAGTGATGCTTCTCGGGCAAAGACGTGAATCCATGACACACTGACTCACCAGGGGCATAAATTCTACAAGACAGAGTAAACAGTATACTGCTTCCTGCATACTACAATGGTATCAAAATCTGTTACATCATTCATAAGTTAAAAAAAATATATGGTGTTGTTATATTTGTAGAAATTTTCTTTTAATTGTAGAAGTTAACACAAATCCTTGCTTAAAAGCTTGACCTCTGACTCCTAAACTTCCATCCTTATTACTAACCTGTACACCACCTGTACTGGAAGGTGTCCCCTCTGTGAAGTCAGCCAGGAACTAAGCTGTGAGAAGTGGAGGTAACTCCGTATAGCCTGCAGGAGAACTCTCCCAGTCACAAACGTGGCATCACATCTCTCCAACCTTCTGTCAACAGACACAGTGCCACTTAACATATGACAAAGTTGCTTTATCTAAGAAAGTTGCAACTAAGGAGGATTAATGTTATAAATTTACAAAATTTTTTGAAAAAGGGAAAAAAATCTAATCAATCCCAAAATCAAAAAGGGAACAACTTTGGACAAAGGGAAACCTGAAAATACAGAAACAAAGATAACAAATTTTCTGTGTCCAAATCAAAGATGGCCACCTTTCTGTCACTTTGTTGATCTATTCAAAAATTGAATGGGAACAAGTAGCAAATGTGAGCTTTCTTATGAAATTTGAAGGTTCCCTTCCCCAGTACTTCTCAAGGAATAGTCAGACCACTGGCATAGAGTAATTGAATAGCCTCTTTATGTGTTTCATTTTGGTTACCATGGTTATATATTATCTGTATCATTATGGTTTCCAAGGTAATATCCAGTCATTTTACTATGGTTACCATGGTAAATTCTTACATGTTTTAGCATGGTTACCATGATAATATCCAGTGCATTTTACTATAGTTACAACGGCAATGTCTGACATGTTTTATAATGGTTACCATGGTAAACGCTTAAATGTCATTTAAATATGATTACCATGGTAAACTCTTGCATGTTGTAGTATGGTTACCATGGCAATACAATGTGTTTTACTATTATTACCATGATAAAATAATATGTTTTACTTTGTTACCATGGTAATATACTATATGTTTTAATTTGGTTATGCTGATATCCGACTGGTTTAAAGTAATTTACCGTTTGGATAAAATCTGGACATCCCATCTCTCTAGTAATGTCATATCTTCCTGACTCGCAGTAATTGGACCAACCACAGTACAAGCTTCCAGCTGACCATGATCACAATTCGGCATCAGAAACACATCAATCCGCATTGGTATCATATTCTTTGACAACATGTACATGTGCTTTTTCTGAAGGTCTGTCTTCCTGCACTACAAAGTCAACAATTGAAAAACATCAATCAAATGTACCTTGCTGATAAAGAATTCAATTTACCTGACACTGGAGTTATATCATCCAATATTTTGATCAACAGGTTTGATTTCCTACCCAATTCAAAAGTAATCTCTCTTTTGAACATGACATTTTATGTTCAATGTTTTCATTTAAATCCTGTATGTCCTAAATATTAAAGAATTTCAATATAAAACAATCTTATAAAATAATATCAAAGTTCAAAAGTTTTTTTTTCTAAATATTTTAAACATTTTGCATTAAATTTCACTATATTAAAGTCTTTGTAATACTCAACAATCATCCTAATATCTATGCTCAAAGAATTTGGTTTTCATTTCTTTCGCCCTACTTTGGAACATAGGATGAAATTTTTCGAACAATAAATAGGTACTATCCGAATTAAATATCTCAAACTTTTAAATGATAGGTTCATAAAATAGGCCTTTCAGTTCATAAAAAGAAGTTAGTAAAGATTTTAACAAATTTGACCCCTGTGACCTTAAACATTAATCAAGGTAATTTCTTTTCACAAACAATATTGGGCTTCATCCTAGTTCTATTTAAAATGTTTTCAAAACATTTGGTCCATTGGTTATTAAGAAGAAGTTGTTTGAAATGAAAAATTTTATGCCTGACCACAGATGGACTACAGACGACGGACAGACAACGAACAAACAACAGACAACAGACACGGCACCATGGAATCTATAGGATACAAATATCAATATCAGTATTCACTGAGAATTTTCCTAACCAGCAGACAGGGTCCCTGCAGTCATGTTTCATGTTTTAATTGATTTGTTACCTCTGACCCTAACGAGGGTCCCTTTGGGAAATTCCCCAGTCAGTTCGGTCCCCCTCTGTGTGTAGAGACAGTGTGCCCTTTAGGGGCGAGTCATTGTCTCACACATCCTTAACAGGAAACGGTTGGGGAAACTGACTTGTAACACCCATAAATTCTATCTCCATTCATGAGGACAAGGGTGGGAGCAATGTGATTGTCTGTTGTCTGTTTTTTTAACACTCATGACCTCTGACCCCTGGGTAATGTTACTTTGCCAGTGGGGTCTTTGAGGGAAACTCACCTGTTGTCGGTGTTTATCACAAACATGAGCTCTGGCCCCCTGTACGGGGAGAACATGGGGGCCCTCCACACGCCCTTTAGGGGACAGATCGGGGGTTCTGGCCTCAGTCACTAGCAATCCAATCTCAGCAAACAAATCCGCGGGAACCCACAAAGTGTCCTCCATGTCTGGTCCGCCTGAATAAACACAGTCTGTTAGGTATACACTACTGACTGACAACATCAAAACATCTAGGTCAATAGCATACACATAAAGGTCAGTATATCATAGAAATAGATTAGATAGGTCAATATAACACAGATATCAGTTGGAGGATTGCAGATATAGGTCAGTACAAAAGTAGGTCATAGTATTACAGATATAATTCACAGTACTGGAAAAATAGGTCAATACTAATGTAGATCAGGGTACAATTTATTATAGATATAGGTCAGAGTATTACAGATATAATTCACAGTACTGAAGATACAGGCCAGTATAAATGAAAGTCAAGATTATACAGATGTTGGTCCAAGTATTAGATGGTAACAAAACAAGAGGCCCAATGCACCTGCAGTGCTCATCTCGTATCTATACCAGCTAAATATCATGCCTCCAGGCCTCTTAGTTCATGAGAAGAATTAGTCTAAAGGTTTTAATGAATTTGACTGCTGTGACCTTTAACATAGGTAAAGGTCATTTCCTTTCATAAACTTTGTTTGGCATCATCCTAGGAACATACCAGCAAAATATTTTTGAAAATTGGCACTTGTGACTTTGAAAGTGGGTCTAGGTAATTCATTTGAACAATCCTGGTACTCTTTTCCCACTATAATGAAGGCCCAATTTCAATACCCTTGGCATTCCACTTGCAGAGAAGAAGAGAGAAGATTTTTTTAACACATCTGACCCCTGTGACCTTGAAAATGGGTTAAGGTCATTCATTTAAACAAACTTGGCAGCCCTCCATCCAAGCATCTCACAGAGAAGAAGTTGTTTGAAGTGAAAAGTTGACCCACGATGGATGGAAGGACGACGGACGATGCACCATACCATGAGCTCAATTGGCCCATCAGGCAAGATGAGCTAAAAGCTGTTATTATTTACTGTCCATGATGTAGCTGCACAGTCACTCAACAATTTTTTTCTTTTTTAACGAGTATAAACTTCTTTCCATCATACTCTTCTACTTAAATAGTATGTGCAAACATTCTGATCAGTCTTACAATTACATGTTGTAACAAAATTAAACAATATTATGTTGACATTGTATACATGTCATTACCATTTCTGTATCTGTATGGTCTCTGATTGGTTTAAGATTCTCATCAAATATCCACCAGTATCTCAAACATCTACCAGTATCTCAAACATCTACCTAAAACATCCACCAGTATCTCAAACATCTACATGAAACATCTACCAGTATCTCAAACATCTACCTCAAACATCCACCTCAAACATCTACCTCAAACATCTACCTCAAACATCTACCTCAAACATCTATCAGTATCTCAAACATCTACCTCAAACATCTACATCAAACATCCAGCAGTATCTCAAACATCTACATCAAACATCTACCAGTATCTCAAACATCTACATCAAACATCTACCAGTATCTCAAACATCTACATCAAACATCCAGCAGTATCTCAAACATCTACCTCAAACATCTACCAGTATCTCAAACATCTACCAGTATCTCAAACATCTACCTAAAACATCCACCAGTATCTCAAACATCTACATCAAACATCTACCTCAAACATCCACCTCAAACATCTACCTCAAACATCTACCTCAAACATCTACATCAAACATCTACATCAAACATCTTCCAGTATCTCAAACATCTACCTAAAACATCCACCAGTATCTCAAACATCTACATCAAACATCTACCAGTATCTCAAACATCTACCTCAAACATCTACCTCAAACATCCACCAGTATCTCAAACATCTACCTCAAACATCTACATCAAACATCTACCAGTATCTCAAACATCTACATCAAACATCCAGCAGTATCTCAAACATCTACCTCATACATCTACCAGTATCTCAAACATCCACCAGTATATCAAACATCTACCTCAAACATCCACCGGTATCTCAAACATCTACCTCAAACATCTACCAGTATCTCAAACATCTACCTCAAACATCTACATCAAACATCTACCAGTATCTCAAACATCTACCTCAAACATCAACATCAAACATCTACCAGTATCTCAAACATCTACCTCAAACATCTACCAGTATCTCAAACATCTACCTCAAACATCTACCAGTATCTCAAACATCTACCTCAAACATCTACCAGTATCTCAAACATCCACCAGTATCTCAAACATCTACCTCAAACATCCACCGGTATCTCAAACATCTACATCAAACATCTACCAGTATCTCAAACATCTACCTCAAACATCTACCAGTATCTCAAACATCCACCAGTATCTCAAACATCTACCTCAAACATCCACCGGTATCTCAAACATCTACCTCAAACATCTACCAGTATCTCAAACATCTACCTCAAACATCTACATCAAACATCTACCAGTATCTCAAACATCCACCGGTATCTCAAACATCTACCTCAAACATCCACCTGTATCTCAAACATCTACCTCAAACATCTACCAGTATCTCAAACATCTACATCAAACATCTACCTCAAACATCTACCAGTATCTCAAACATCTACCTCAAACATCTACCAGTATCTCAAACATCCACTGGTATCTCAAACATCTACCTCAAACATCTACCAGTATCTCAAACATCTACATCAAACATCTACCTCAAACATCTACCAGTATCTCAAACATCCATCAGTATCTCAAACATCTACCTCAAACATCCACTGGTATCTCAAACATCTACCTCAAACATCCACCAGTATCTCAAACATCTACCTCAAACATCTACCGGTATCTCAAACATCTACCTCAAACATCTACCAGTATCTCAAACATCTACATCAAACATCTACCTCAAACATCTACCAGTATCTCAAACATCTACCTCAAACATCTACCAGTATCTCAAACATCTACCTCAAACATCTACCAGAATCTCAAACATCTACATCAAACATCTACCTCAAACATCTACCAGTATCTCAAACATCTACCTCAAACATCTACCTCAAACATCTACCAGTATCTCAAACATCCATCAGTATCTCAAACATCTACGTCAAACATCCACCGGTATCTCAAACATCTACCTTAAACATCTACCAGTATCTCAAACATCTACATCAAACATCTACCTCAAACATCTACATCCAGCAGTATCTCAAACATCTTCCTCAAACATCCAGCAGTATCTCCAGCATCCACCAGTGTCAACTTCTCAATTTTTAACAAGCACACATTCCTCGTATAATTACGTGTTTTTAGTCTTACCAATCACCACAAACAATATAGTTATGTGTTGTTTGTATTTTCAAGTCATTGTAACCATTAGTGTTTGAATTCCACTTTATGTCCTTCATGAACGTAATACACATCCTAATATACAAGTTATAAATACACCTAGTTGCACCTGATGACTTGAAAAGCTTACACAAACATCCTATACAATAACAAGGGTCATTTAGTTCATAAATATCCTTTACTAAAACGACATGTTTGTAATATATTTTTTCCTGTAATGTCGATCTTCATTTACATATTTGTTACATAAATATTTTATCGTGTATAATCAGTTTTAATCTTAAAAATCTTGTACTATCAGTTCTATAAGATACACAACATCTTTTCATATCAGCAATTCAACAAATTTTAATTCTGTTTTAATATTGAATTACTTCTGAGAGTTCAATTAAAGCACTGCTTTCATATCAACAAACTGACAAAAAAGTAACCTCAACTAATTAGTGCATTCATTTACAATCTATACGGACTTACTGCAGAACAACAAAATAGTAGACCCTCTGGTAGAATTTGGTTTTTAGTGCCGTGGTTTACTACAACAGTATCTAATTAACATGTTCACAACCAGTGTAATTTTACAGATACGTCAGGTTTGTAGAGGTAAGCCGGAGTTCCTGGAGATCAACCTGCTACCTGGCAACTGCCCCGTGTAAGGTCTCAAACCCACGACCCCGAGGTGTTTTGCTAGTGATAATAATGGTTATGACCACCATTCGGACACAAATTCTACTGTAACCTGCATGGTCACATTTGCGTTCATTCAATGAGTGGCATGGTTTCCAACATGTACTTCATATTCTTTTGAATTATCAAGTACCTGAAAACCACAAAATTTTATGAATAAATTGGCTACAGTGCACCTCAAGCCCCCAATCTAGATTTTCACATCTCTTTTGATCAGTGTTTCCCTCATATACCCTCTAGGGCCTTAACATCATTGCAGAAGAGTCCTAGAAGGATGGAACGGTTGTATGCATGATGCATAAGTGTGTATGGAGAGGTTCAATAGATTTGTGCATTTTTTGTACAAACCTTGTTCAAAATTTACCCTGAGCAGTATATGTTACATCTAGGTAAGCTTATTTACCATGCAGGCCTGGGCTTATTGACTGAAAATATGGTACATGTCTGTTGTGCCCCTCTCCACCATATACCTCATACATAGAAGGATTCTACACTCTGTGGAACCTATAAACATGTTGCACTTGTTTTTATAAATTATTGACATTCTCAGTAGACCGGACATGAAACAAATATACAATATAAAGGGGTTATTCAGTGAGAGGACATAGGCACTAAACCAAAAAGTAAGGCCTATACAAATAAAAATGTGTTTCTTGTGTCCCTACAGCTAGCATAGAATTCCAGGGGCCATTTTCTTAAAGACCATTCTGTTTAGTTTTCAGCTAATTCCATCAAGGTGACTCTCCCACCCTCAACTCTCCTACAAACACATCAATGTGACTCTCCCACCCTCAACTCTCCTACAAACACATCAATGTGACTCCCCCACTCTCAACTCTCTTACAAACACATCAATGTGACTCTCCCACCCTTAACTCTCCTACAAACATATCAATGTGACTCTGCCACCCTCAACTCTCCTACAAACATATCAATATGACTCCCACCCTCAACTCTTCTACAAACACATCAATGTGACTCTCCCACCCTCGCCTCCCCTACAAACATATCAATGTGACTGTCCCACCCTCACCTCCCCTACAAACATATCAATATGACTCCCACCCTCACCTCCCCTACAAACATATCAATGTGACAGTCCCACCCTCACCTCCCCTACAAACATATCAATATGACTCCCACCCTCACCTCCCCTACAAACATATCAATGTGACTCTCCCACCCTCAACTCTCTTACAAACGCATCAATGTGACTTTCCCACCCTCGCCTCCCCTTCAAACATATCAATATGACTCCCACCCTCACCTCCCCTACAAACACATCAATGTGACTTTCCCATCCTCACCTCCCCTACAAACACATCAATGTGACTGTCCCACCCTCACCTCCCCTACAAACATATCAATATGACTCCAACCCTCACCTCCCCTACAAACATATCAATATGACTCCCACCCTCACCTCCCCTACAAACACATCAATGTGACTGTCCCACCCTCATCTCTCCTTCAAACACTTCAATTCGACTCCCCCTACCCCTGAGACATTATTGTGACTCCCCTACCCCTGAGACATTATTGTGACTCCTCTACCCTTGAGACATTATTGTGACTTCCCCTACCCCTGAGACATTATTGTGACTCCCCTATCCCTGAACCATTATTGTGACTCCCCCTACCCTCGAGAAATTATTGTGACTCCCCTACCCCCCGAGACATTATTGTGACTCCCCCTATCCCTGAGACATTATTGTGACTCCCCTACCCTCGAGAAATTATTGTGACTCCCCCATCCCCCGAGACATTATTGTGACTCCCTCCTCCCATCAACACATCAAAGTGAGTATCTCATCTCGACCAATACTTCACTGTGAGTTCCCCTTCCCCCATTCCGAACAGCAACATATCACAGTATCTTAAATACCCTACCTTCATCTCACCACAAAGCTAACATTGTGACATCCCTACCCCTAACCCAACACACTATCACCTCCCCCACCCAACACATCACTGCATCTCCAAACATCCCTACCCCTAACCCAACACACTATCACCTCCCCCACCCAACACATCACTGCATCTCCCCTCCCACCAACAAACACATCACTATCACCTCCCCCCACCCACCAACACATCACTGCATCTCCCCTCTTACCTACTACCACATCACTATCACCTCCCCCACCCACCAACACATCACTGCATCTCCCCTCCCACCTACTACCACATCACTATCACCTCCCCCACCCACAAACACATCACTGCATCTCCCCTCCCACCTACTACCACATCACTATCACCTCCCCCACCCACCAACACATCACTGCATCTCCCCTCCCACCTACTACCACATCACTATCACCTCCCCCACCCACCAACACATCACTGCATCTCCCCTCCCACCTACAAACACATCACTATCACCTCCCCCACCCACCAACACATCACTGCATCTCCCCGCCCACCAACAAACACCTATCACCTCCCCACCCACCAACACATCACTGCATCTCCCCTCCCACCTACCCACATCACCACCCACACATCACTGCATCTCCCCTCCCACCTACTACCACATCACTATCACCTCCCCCACCCACCAACACATCACTGCATCTCCCCTCCCACCTACAAACACATCACTATCACCTCCCCACCCACCAACACATCACTGCATCTCCCCTCCCACCTACAAACACATCACTATCACCACCCCCACCCATCACCTCTCCCCTCCCACCTACAACACATCACTGCATCTCATCACTGCTCCCCTCCACCTACAAACACATCACTATCACCTTCCCCACCCACCAACACATCACTGCATCTCCCCTCCCACCTACAAACACATCACTATCACCTCCCCCACCCACCAACACATCACTGCATCTCCCCTCCCACCTACAAACACATCACTATCACCTCCCCCACCCACCAACACATCACTGCATCTCCCCTCCCACCTACTACCACATCACTATCACCTCCCCCACCCACCAACACATCACTGCATCTCCCCTCCCACCTACTACCACATCACTATCACCTCCCCCACCCACCAACACATCACTGCATCTCCCCTCCCACCTACAAACACATCACTATCACCTCCCCCACCCACCAACACATCACTGCATCTCCCCTCCCACCTACAAACACATCACTATCACCTCCCCCACCCAACACATCACTGCATCTCCCCTCCCACCTACAAACACATCACTATCACCTCCCCCACCCAACACATCACTGTGTCTCCCCTCCCACCTACAAACACATCACTATCACCTCCCCCACCCAACACATCACTGTGTCCACCTCTCAAACAACACATCAATGTATTATGACTCCCAAATGCCTCCCTACCACCAACCAATGTCAAACATAAAACTGACCTCCCCTCATTCTCCACTATTATCAATGTACCCTCAACACCTACCCTCAATCCACCCACATCCACCACCAACACATCACTTTGCTCCCCTGAACCAACCGGCACACCACTGTAACCCCCAATTCCTACTCTCACTCCCTCACCCTCCCCACAACCACTACCAACACATCACTTTAACACCCACCCCACCCTCTCACTCCCTACCCCACATCTACCACCAACACATCACTTTAACCCCCACCCCACCTTCTCATTCCTACCTCACATCCACCACCAACACATCAATGTAACCCCCACACTACCCTCTCACTCCCTCACCCGCCCCCACAACCACCACCAACACATCACTGTGCCCCTTCCCCCTTCCAAATCCACCAACAAATCACCGTGACCGACCTCACAATTCCTACCAACATTCCCCACTCACATCTTTTCAACCAAAATATCCACTTTGCATTCCTTACATTGGTCCACCCAATGCTAACTCTCTTAACTTGAATCAACAACCATTTGTCCAAACAGACACCACCCACCAGTCTGCATCATCATTGTGATAACCATAAAGCTTACACTTATGTAGCCATAGTGACAAAGATATACTTCATGTGGAGTTGTACCAATCTGATTTTGAAAGGGTGCATACATACAGTGCATGGGTGTCTCTACTAAACCTGTGAATGCAATTAATAATTTCCTTTCAGTTGAAATGCATGTGTGTGACACCTGATAGCAATATCTACATAAATACATGTACAGTGACAGGTCTAACAGTGTGTAAGGTTACTGACTCGTTAATGCAGACTATTTATAGCAACTGGGGACTTATCTCCTCGGGAGAGTATTGACTTATATGTCTACGGTATGCATGTGTGTAGCTGACGTGTAAAGTCCATATAAGGAAGTATAGACAAGTGTACACAGGCCAACAAAGCGAATAATTGTTTTTACTGTACATCGTTACAGAGTTACGAACGTGGAATACACATTGCCGTGGAAACGTTCTGATTCAATCAATCAAATACGTGGAAGTGTTGTAGAGTATGGTATCATCCAAGTAAGAGTATTACACTGTTACTAAAAATAACTTCGTATCTCTGTAGTCTCCAACGTGCCTAAGCCCAAAACAAAGCAAAGGGCGAACCAACCAACCAAAAAGTGAGTCAGTCTGAATCAGCTGTCAAACAAATGTATTCATTTTCAGATCTCATTTATTCCGAAAGGTAACGATTAACGACCATCATATCGATATGAAAAATATTACTACAGATAAGAATTAAACATTAGTGTTTCAGATATTAAATTTAAAACTCGAGGTCACTTTCGTAAACAGCTGATCGGCATAGTTAGGCCAAAACGAAAAGTCACCCAAGCGAGGAGAGTTACGATTCAACACGACCCTCCCAAAACGCACCTTTTTCGGGCTTCATTTCTCCCCGTGAACACCAAACCACATCTGCTACATAGCTGAAACTGTTCGTTTGTAATCTCTATAACTCCCTTCCACCTCTGCTAATAAACTATCCATCAGCATGAACTCCGTCGTCTGTTCCTTTCTCAGCCCATCTGGCAGACGGTCGCAGCAAGGAACGATCCTATGTTTATGATTTGCTTTCGTGTAGTCACGTGAGCAATTTTCCGTAAACAAACTCAAAATTCATTAATTGGAGCTGAAATTGGACTGAAGTGTATATAAATACATAGAGAAGATTTTTTTAAACTGATTTTACCTTATTTCATTTGTTATTTATTGTTTATCAGAAAACTAGACTGGTTGCAAGAGATCTAACCTTTGAACCTAACCTGAAATGACCTTATGAACTCATCTGACAGCTTCTTCGGAAATTGATTTCCGTAGTAATTTGATCGATTTGTTTTAGTTTTGGTTATTCCCATACTGGTATCTATTTCTGAAATGAAGCAGTCAATTGAGACAAGGAAATAAATCGATGTGAATTGAGCATATGAGATAATTTAGGTGTGTTTACAAAATGTAACCTGATGAACCCGACAGTCGTCCTGTAGCTATGAGATTTAAAGTTATCGCCCTTTGACCTAGTGAGTTAGACAAATATGGGCATTGTTAGCTGGCAATCGGTTCACGCGATTTTAGATTAAGATTTCCTTTGTCCTATGTCTTTATTGATAAACTATATCTACAAAAAAGTTGTGTTAAAGATAAGCAGGATATGGAAACCAACTAGAAACACGCCAATACATTTGTATCTATGCATTTCTTTATTCGATTACATGCATGGCAATTTACAAATTTCATTTTTGATTTCCTGAAAATTCTTTTAGATGTGTGGTTTATATCATAGTATGTATCCGATACATGTATATTGTATAAAATTTCCAATAAAATAAAATGAAATATTTAATTTCATAATCTGAGATTCCGTATATAATTTGCTTTATACATTGCGCCATGAACGCACTTGGTGTCGACTCAGCACTGACCGCCCTGATCAGAGCTATTTTGTTAGAAGCGAATGTCATTTTTTTTAAACGATACTAACAAATTAAATTGAAGTATCACAAAACTTGCATCAGTCTAAACATATGGGACTAAAAGGGGAATATAACATCTGGATGGTATTTCAGTTGCAGATATCTCTACCGTTTTATAAATTTTTAAATTAAACAGAAATTATTTGTCGTAAAAGTTAGCAGCATGTGTTCCAAAGATTAATAAGCTATTTGTTATTATTTATTTTGAAAAAAAAACTTAGTTATGTACTTTATGAGAAAAATGTTTTTTAAACACGGAGGCTTATTAACCCGAAATATTTTCTATAGTGTTACATCGAGATATAGGCAGACTCTGATCACACTGTACTTTAAATACGTCTCTGGTTGGTCAGTTACCGTACGCCGTATAATTTAACATATACTTATCTCCGTTGCCATAACACGTACGATGCTTCAAAATGAAGTGCTTAGGTTATATATATGACTGCTGTGAAGCCTTAAAATGTCGCTATCAGATCCTTCAAGTATAACTGTCAGAGCGGGCTGTTCGTTCTAAAATTTCACACCAAGCACTTTCGTGTCTTTTAGAAATTTTAGGCCAAAGTTTTGAAAATCTCCCAAGAGACCCTCGAACGTTACTTAAAACTCGAAGTCATTATGAGTTTAAAGAAATAACAAATGGGCAATATTATCATTTTAGAATTGCAGAAGGAATCAGAAATGAATTAGAACTTGGGAACAACAACAAAGTACTTTTGTAAATAAATGTAGATGGTTGGCCTCTTTCTGAAGTACAAATCATCAATTTTGGACAATTTTAGGGAAAATAGAAAACATTCCTTGTTCAAACCGTTTATTATTGACTTGTTCTATGGCTGTGGAATACATGCATGACTTTGTAGAGGAATTGACACAGCTTACAACACAAGCTTTTGATAAAAGTCATCAACATTTTGAAATAGCCATGTCAGCTGTGGTCTGTGATGCTCCTGCAAGGGATTTTGTAAAAGTGACATAACAGTACTCAGGGTACTATGGCTGTGGTAAATGTGTTCAAAGTGGGGAGTGACTCAATAAAATTATTTTTCCTGAAGTTGATTCGAACCTCAGAACTAATGCTTCTTTTTTCTCAAATGCTGGATGAGGATCACCCCAGAGGACAGTAACATACTTAGCAGAATTAAGTATCTCCAATGCAATTTTATTATCTGGACACTGTGTGGATATGATGAAGGCAGGTAACTGGCGTCATAATGACAGAAAACTGTATTCTAGAATTTAACCACTAAATGTAGCATACTTAGCTGAATTAAGTATCTCCAATGCAATTTTATTATCTGGACTCTGTGTGGATATGATGAAGGCAGGTAACTGGCGTCATAATGACAGAAAACTGTATTCTAGAATTTAACCACTAAATGTAGCATACTTAGCTGAATTAAGTATCTCCAATGCAATTTTATTATCTGGACTCTGTGTGGATATGATGAAGGCAGGTAACTGGCGTCATAATGACAGAAAACTGTATTCTAGAATTTAACCACTAAATGTAGCATACTTAGCTGAATTAAGTATCTCCAATGCAATTTTATTATCTGGACACTGTTTAGGGGTTATTTCTTTATTCTGGTAGGTATGCTATCGGCATCGGCATTGTTTAATCAAATGACAAATATCCATGATTATTTATGTTCACATAAATACAATTTTTTCTCCGCTTTCTCTCTCTCAAAAAAAAAATCCAAATATTTCATCTTGATTGTATAAAATTGTAAAATTTCTATTGGGAAAACGATCCACATTAATTTGAAAACTTGTGTCCGATCTTATTTTGTTTTAATCCCTATATTTCTCCTACACTGTTAACTTTTAGTGTTAGGTTCATCCATATATGGTTTTTTTAACGTGTAAATTCACTCCTATTTTGGTGTAAACTTTATGGTTACACCATTTCTGATGTAAAGTTAATCACAACAAAGAAAAGTGTATATAATATAAAATTGGTGTAAATTTCTTACACCGTAAGGGGGTGACTTTACACCAGATTCTCACCTAAAAGTTTACTTTACACCGTAAGGGGGTGACTTTACACCAGATTCTCACCTTTGTTACTTTACACCGTAAGGGGGTGATTTCACCACAATCTCAACTTTTAGTGTTACTTTACACCATAATGGGATTTTTACACCAGAAATCTCACCTAAAAGTGTTACTTTACACTTTAAGGGGGTTACACCATTTCTCACCTAAAAGTTAATTTACAACGTAAGGGGGTGATTAATACACCAGATTCTCACCTAAAAGTGTTACTTTACACCGTAAGGGGGTGACTTTACACCAGAATCTCACCTAAAAGTGTTACTTTACACCGTAAGGGGGTGACTTTACACCAGAATCTCACCTAAAAGTGTTACTTTACACCGTAAGGGGGTGACTTTACACCAGAATATCACATAAAAAATTACTTTACACCGTAAGGGGATGACTTTACACCAGAATCTCACCTAAAAGTGTTACTTTACACCGTAAGGGGGTGACTTTACACCAGAATCTCACCTAAAAAATTACTTTACACCGTAAGGGGGTGACTTTACACCAAATCGATACCTTTATTTATCTTTCACCGCACAGGTGCAGCATTACACCAAATTTTCACTTAAAAGTATTATTTTACACAGTAAGGGAATGACTTTTACACCAAATCAGTACTGAAACCTGTCACCTTACACCTCAAGGAGCGACGTTACACCCAGTTGTCACCGAGAGGTGTTACCTTACGGCCGCGCGGGACTGTCTTTACAACAAATCGTCTCTGAGAAGTGTTACTTTATATTTTAGGTATTTACAACAAATCACATTTAGATGTGTTACCTAACACCGTAAGGAGTGAATACGTAACACCAGAGACGTATATAACGATATATACGTCTCTGATAACACCATATTAAATGAAAGCGTAAGCAGAGATGTCTCTGGTGTAACTTTACACCGTGAGGGACACTCGGACACAAAATCAGATCCTCACTTAAACATGTTAGTTATTCACTCACCAAGAGCAAACTGTAGTTAACTTTTAATGTAGGCCTATTTCCGTCGGACAACGTTGTGGCCCTCCGTATTGCAAGATAAAATATTGGGTAGCGTTCCTTTTTGGGTACAGTATACGTAGTCTCATGTTGAATGCCATTTGATTTTGCCTGTTAAACCCGGTTTTATGAAATGTGGACATGCCAAATGGTTTGTTGTCGAATATAATGGACAATTACAATAAAATGCAAAATCTGTATATGCTTTCAGTACATAAATGCATATTTAAAATAATCGTTCTGACCGCTTAATGAACAGGGCTCCAGCTGCAAAATCCGGACCACTCAGATGCTTTTAAAGCGTTTGTGCGAGTAAGAAGCTGGAAACCGCGCACTTTACGCTAGGGCTTGGATCCAAAACCAAATGAAATGGAATGGGTTATCAACCATATAGGCCACTCACTTGACAATCATTAGATATATTACAGGTAACTTGAAATATAGAATAAGATGCTCACACATCCAATATACCAAGACTGTGATCGATTTAAACATTGTCCATTTTGTTCTTTAAATCTCACCATTATGCAGAGTAGTGGAAATGTTACATTCAAGGTTTCCAGTGGGAAATTTTGGTTCAGTCATGCAAACTATTTTAGTTGGAAGAGACGTGGTCAAATTAAGTGATACAGGTTTTCATTCTATTCTGTTCTACTATTTCTTCATGGGGCGTATTTATACCTTTTTTCTTGCTCATAGATAGTGATATTAAATTTCTATGTTAAATGTATAGGATTTACATTATTTCCTGGCTTCAACAATTGTTACTTTTTCCTATGTGATAAAAATTAGGTGTTTTTAATTTTTTTGATAAAATGCAATACTTTTGGCCTAGAAAAGTTGGTTGCAATATTTGTCTCTTCAACAAAAAAATCTAAGTAAATCTCCACCGATACAATTGTCATTTAAAACCATCACGAAAAATTTGGCTAGTTACAAAAATATCAGGTATCAGGTGAGAACAAATGCATTA